AATCCCAATGTAAGTAAGAGTGATTTATCCCTTAGGGGGCATTCTTTTTTCGGATTTTGAGAGGGGGAAAGTTAGTCAATAGGATTTTGGTTCACATTGACCAATAATCACATGCTCTTTTTTCAAATTTATGTGGGGACCAGGGAAATTTTATTTTCCTGGGTATCACTTATACCCATCTCCTAGGTGGGTAAATAACTTTTCCACCTAGGGGGAAAGTTGCCAACACTTGAATGGGACAAAAATACCCCTTTTAATAATATATTTTTTTGCCTAAAATGGTCATTGTCTTATTTACATGAGAAATAAAAGAACATGAGTAAATGCACTTACCCGGATAAGTATTTTCCAGGAAAAATTTACCCAAATAACTGCATTTACCTGGATAATTAACTTACTGAAAAATGAACGGAGCCTTGATAAAAAAACAAAGAAAGAAGTTAATGGGAGGGGGGGGGGCACATGGTTTCCAGACTAGTGGTGTAGCAAAAGGAGAAATGATGCAACCTATACGGGGGGCTCCATATCTTGGTCACTTCACACCTCTCCTCATATGGTATTTTCTGCCCAAATGTCCCTTTCTTCTTTGTCCAAAACAATCTTCTTACCTGGACTGGTCGCATTATTCCTCTATGTGGCTGAAAGAGACTCATGTAGGGAAAACATTTCTTTTTTCCTGTTGGGGTTGATTTAATTTGTTACTCAGAGCTGTCTATGGTGATATAAATTAGACAGTGCTAACAGATTTCCCCAACCCAGCGAAAGGGCCTGGGCGCGGGCCCATTTCGAACTCAAATCTGGGTCCCAGAACCAGAAGGGTGGATGTGGTCCAAACATCTATGGCAACACGGCATTAGCAGGTTGGTAGTTGGTAGGCTCAAAATGGCTATCCAAATCCAGGTCAGAAGCCCATAAATCCGGCCCAATCTGTTGAAAATTGTATTCAGCTTGGTCACTGATACAGGTGACAGCAATTTCATGATCATCAAGCCATGATTTAAAGGCGAATTTGGTCCCTTTGTGCATGGATATGGAACTAACACAAAACACTGTAGCTGCATTAATGCTACCGACATCGTACCTTTATTCTTTATGAATCATTGCAATAAAGTCTTCTCGAATTTAATATGCTTGCTACCTAAATAGGGGAGTACATTTCCTTTGTTCCCTACCAAAAGGACCTTTTGGTCTTCCTTTCTAAACTGAGAATCCAACTATTAAAACCTTTACCTCTCTCTTGCTTCCTAAGCTCATGTCGCTTAACTTTACATATTACATTCTCTCTTTTTTTTTCTCTCTCTCTCTCTCTCATCCAATTGATCTTAAGCGTCTGTATGCTACAGGACCATGCAGCTATGGCCTCGTCCAAGTTGGGGTCCAAAAGAGTGATTGCAACAGAATCCAATGTGATCAATTATATTAGTCTTGATCATATATGCTTATTATGGATAATAATGGCTTCCGAGAATTGGTATATAGCTTCATTTTCATCACTGAAATGCTTTTAATAATACAATAGAAGCATGAAGTTGTGATCATGTTTCAAGCTGATTTTCTTCTGTTTGGTTTCAATTTTGAACTCCTCCCTTACTACTTTGAGCTCTTGTTTTACACTTCTACTTCCAATGTAGAGAATTTAAGGAGGGTTGTGGTAGGTTGTACCCAGCTTACATCACCCTTCTGAACATGATGGGGCTCATATGAGACCGGCACCTTATGCTTATGGAACACTGGTGCATCATCCATTTGTCCCCTCGTGAATTGGAATAAGGCTTTGTTTAGTTGAATTGAATTGAATTGAGGGTTTCAAGCTTGTTGTTGTTCATCTAAAGTTGGGAAAGAGGAGCTAATTAAATACTTTTTACAGATTTGACCTTTTTTTTCCATATGGTTTCAACTTCCATCTCAAAAGAAAGCTTAGTCATAACTTGGGATAGAGGGGGCCAATTATATATATAGCATGAAATTAAGGGCAGTGGTGTGTTTTAATTTGCTATTGATCAAATCACACAGCTAAAGCTAAATCTCATGTATTAACAAATTAAAAGCAATTTGATTAATTTTTGTCCTTTTGTGATCTAAAGTTGAAGGCAACCGCATGGGTCCAAGGCATTATGCCTAGAAATCTTCAAATGAATTTAATTAAAAACACCTAGTCCTAGTTAGTCACCCCTAGCCCTAGTCTATTACCACTTCAGGTGTGGGTGTATTAAGTATTAATAATGAAAAGGAATGAAGATATAGTTTATATTAAGGCTGTTGTGTTGTGTTAGCCTGTTAGGCACATCTAATCTATAGATCATAATTCTAGGATAACATATATTTTGATAAATCAAATCCTTGGAATATACAGGAGCTCTTCGAAAGATGGTCCACTTTGTTGGGTAGTTGTAACTGATGAAAAATGATATCTTAATATGTACTTCCTGCATCTAGACTTGTAGGAATTCCGTGCCCTCTTATTAAATATATGCCTAGAATCTTTGGGAATGCTCATTACGTAACATCTAAGCTAGATTGATCATCTATATATGTTAGCATCCATGTTTCCTAATTAGGTTTCTTTCTCATTATTTTATTTTACTTTTTTTGGTTCAAGTATGAAACAGATTAACTAACCCTTGTTTAAGTAATTAAACGGGTCAGGACTCTGGACCAATCCGGATTGCTTGTATTTTTTATTTTGGATACCATCATGAAAAGGGGATTAAGGGTTGGGAATGGAGCAGGATGCATCGTCAGTTCCAATAACCAGTATATATGATTCTGGATCTCCTATTCACATAAATTCTGTTCACCTCTACTCACAACACACTATCCTCATGAGTTGGGAACATCTTCCCTGCATAATATTATGTAGGAAGATAAGACGTTCTTTATATGTGACTGCAATGTTATGTGAGTAGACATGGACAGGAGATCCAGATTCTATATATAATATTATTATAAAAAACTTACAGTTACGGAGTTTGAATCTTTTATTTATAATGTGTTCCTAATGTACAGCTGTAGTGTCCTGTGCGTAGGTGTGATTTAGAGATTTGGATTAGATCTGGATTGACAGTTACATGGATTTGATATTATGCCTCAATTTTTGGAGGAATGTTGAATGGCTATTTCAATAATAGTTGCAATACTTCCTTGTGACCTTGCTCCCAAATAATACAGAGTGGTTCATGTAATGTCAAGAATGTACCCCCCACCCTCTGCATGTGGGTTTTGGGCTCAAATCTTCACTATAACGGTATAACCAGCCCAAGACCTTAACAACTTGCCAGTTGGCATGTTGTAAATTTATTTCCATCACTCACCTGTTTGTGTTTGATTGGGGTTAGAAGGGATTGCTGCGGCCACGGTTGCAACAGATATTTCATCCACTCCATTGGTATTGACCATGAGTTTCAATTCAATTATTAGGAAACCAAATCTGACGGGTTGCTTGAAAACAAAACAGAAGTGGTAGACAAATTTTCAGGCTGAAAATATTCGGTCTACAATTTCACCCTCTATGTTAATTGTTAAGAAATCGGATGAAAACAAAAAGGGGTAGAAAATAAGGTTTTCGCCGTAAAAATGGACACAAATAATAGCTGAAAAATAAGAATCTGCAAAATTTGTATGTCCATTTTCAGAGAGAAACAAACACACCATGTACGATTATGCTTGCATTTACCAGTCAATTCTCAAGTGGTAGAAATGTAGAATAGTGGTTTCCAAAATCAACGGGCCCATGAGATAAAATCGAGATTAGCCAGCTGGCAATTCTTTCACATGATATCACGTACTCAACTGGAAAATATCATCTATTGCCCATATCTAGGCGACCCGTTTAGGAATCAGAATCTGTCAACCCTTTGAAATTCTATCTATGTTGTTGGTATCAACGTCATAGATAGATAGATAGATTGGTTGATTGCATCTGATGGCTTTCACCACATAGCATTGATCAGTCTTTGTTACACCAAGACCACAGTCTCCTCTCAGCGACAAGTTCACTATATATCCATTGTGTGGGCCAGCCAGGTCTCCTCTTGGCTCTGTCCGTGATCAATGGACTGTACTGCACATCCATGATCCATGTCGTGGCCATGATAATAAAAGAAGTCTACCACTTATATCTCATTGTCCACAAGTAGCTACATCCCATGTGATCTTCTCCTTCCTAGGCATGCTCTACTTGCATTTAACCCGTACCATTGTTCTAAAGTTCCTTCTCCAATGTCGACCCGATTAGCAATCTGGACCGGTTAAACCCGAATGCACGCAGCCTAAAACTGTTTGGGGCCCCCACTTGTCTCAGAGTCTCGACCTACCAGTGTGGGCTTGGGTTTTTTGGGATCCATTTATTTAAATAATAAAAAAAGGTGAAATGGGCCACGCTTCTTTGTCCTCGTGGATTTTCCATAAACAATGGAAGATGATGACCTGTTGTATCGGCCTAAAGTCGAACCACACTTGCCAACCTTTGCTTATGTAGGATGCATAGTGACGTTCTATTGGGCCTTTAGTGGGCCAGTAATCTTTACTAGGGAAGTTGACCCAACACGACTTAAATAAACCTTTCCTTCTAAAGGAGGCTTTATGATGTATCATGTGCTCAACACTTCAACAGCCTCTGCCTCATCTATGTTTATTAATTAAATTATATATGAAAAAGGCCGCCTGCAACATGCGTCCTACAGTGATGGATCGGGTCGGCGCCCAGCTTGTTGATGCCTCTTTGTTTGCTTCGACCTGACCCGTAGTGATCTATTTTACACTTGGGTAGTTGGGTTGGGTTGATGGACCGGTCCCAATCTGAGCTCCGTTACCGTTTGTACTTGGAACCGCTGACCCAAAACCCCGTGAAGGTATTCCTTTTAACCATTTTAGATTTTTTGGACACTGCCACGTCAGTGAACAATCAGACTTTTTGTAATAAAGTTTTAATTAAAAATGATTTTTTGGTAATTAAAATTAAAACTGTCTTTTCGCGATTTCCCGTTCATCCTCTCCCTCTTCCTTTTCTTTCTTACATAGAAAAACGCCACCCGAAGGCCGAAGATAGTCGAAAAGTAGTAAACAGGAGAGATATCCAGAAGAGAGAAGAGAGGAGAAAAGGGCGCACATTTCTTCGTGACGCCTCTTTTGCAGATCTTGAGAACCAATCTGTGAGTAGAAAATAACCCTAAACTTTTGTCTGCTTTTTTCTTCGAAGAAGCTTTCTTGTTCGTTCAGGGAGAGCTACGACATCGATGAAGGGGTTGGAGTTGCTAGATCCCTTCTTGATGGCTTGAACGATGATTTAGCTCGTTTTCTGAGCTGGTTTTGAGCTTGTGATGGTGATTAAGCCCTACAGTTTCTTGTTCTGACATGATTTTCCACTGCCAGAGCTGAACCTTCGGTGCTTCAGAGTGGATATTGCTGGATTTTTATGAGGTGTGTCGGGGTTTGAACTGTTGAAGGGACGTTAATTTGCTTACTTTTTTTGTTTTTTTGTTTTGTTTCGACCCTGGACACTAGATTCTTGGTACTTCTCCTGGCTTTTCTCTGGTTTTGGGAGATTTTATTGGATTTTCGCGAATTAATTTGAAGAAACTTTGTGTTTTGCTTTTTGTTGCTGGCTTGAAGAGGTTTGTTTGGCTTCGGATTGGTTTATTTAGAAAAGCATCTGCTCTCGGCGTTTACTCTGTTTTATGTTGCTGTTTAAGATTCGAAGTGCTTTTTGGGTCTGAGATGCTGGATCGGATTCCTCAGATAATGATTTAGTAGCAGATATGGACGACCGTGGTGGATCATTCGTAGCAGTGAGAAGGATTTCGCAAGGGTTGGAGAGGGAGAGCGCTTGTCATTCTACTTCAGGTACGCTGTAAATTTTTCTCCTTTTGTTTTCTTTCTTCTTTTCTGGATATTGCTATTTACTCCTATCAGAACCTAAAACGAATTAAAAATTCAAATTGTGACCATAATATTTTGCTAAATTACACTCCGCGTGTGGAAATTTATGCTTAGTTAATATCTTCGACTCGTATTCGGCAAACTTGAGGAATTATGGCTGCTTATTTTAAATTTGGTTAATTTTATGCCTCTTGCGAGTAACTTAGCAATTTTCCTGTTAACCTCTTTTTCTGTTCTACAACACTGTCGTTCTTTCTTCAGTTGTTGTTTTGTTGTAACTTTGCTCAAGGGTGCATTATTTCTGAGTAAAAGTGGAACACGGTATTTTACACCAAGACTGAACCAGAGTAACAGAATTTTGTCTACTCTTTGCTATTCCCTCATTAGGAAGCAACTTAGCAAAGAGGACTAACTAGATATAATAAGGCACTCGAGGTGTTTTGGTACTGGTTCCTCACTAGGTCTGGTGTTTCCCTAGGATAAGCATTATAGCACCTCTGCACCGGATGACTTTTTACAGGAGTTTCTTTAGCATTGCAGACTCAAAGGTGATTGGTAGATTCCCCTTGCAGTTGAAATAAGATTGGGCTTACTTGATGGTATTAGCAAACGCAAGGCAGCTTCTTAACCCCAATCTCTCCCCTATTCTTTCTCTTAAATGGACTGTACTTTCCATTATAAAAATTTCTAAGTGATATTTTCTTGATATCCTTTCCCCAGTGGTAAACCTCTCTCGAAATGACATTTCGAACTTTGTTGGTAAAGATTATATCAAGCAGAGATCATGTTAACAGGAAATATTTAAGTTTATTTTCTTTAATGAATTAGGTGTGAAACCATGTCAACTAATAAGCATGAACAACATTACGAGTAGCTAAGTTATGGCCTCTTGCCTTTTCTATTGAAATGTGGTGTTTCTCATTCTCCAGTTATATATGTTGAAAGCACTCTTCTCAAAAAATCATCTTGAATTTGTAAATTTGCTTCTGGACCAACATTTTGGGAATAATCTAAGAGTACCTGCATGTGAGCCTTGATCACATTGGTCTATCCATCAAAGATTTACTTAAAACATAATTTTGTCATTGGTCCATTTAATTTTTGTTATATGTAGATTAGAAAAACTTAGCTTATATCTGTCTGACCAGCACATAATCATAATTATTATGGTGGGCAAAGTTTCTGGATGGTTGTATGTGATAACAATGTTTTCTACACTTTTGCTTCTCTTCTTGCATGTCTTGAGTCTGGTTACTTCACATGTAGTAGTGGTATAGTTGGCTGCAATTATATTTGGAAGTTGGAACTGTTTAGAGTGCTGGAGTCTTGAAAATAATTGTTTTGAAATGTTTGTAGGATTATTATCCTTGTGAATTGACCATGGTTCGTTATACAAGGAGCAGATCATGCATAATATTTAGTGTTTCCTAGGAAATTGTGAAAGATGGGGTGGTTTTCCTTGGATCTACAGAATCTCGCTTTCTCTTTTTTTTTTTTTTTGGATTTGTATGCATACAAGAGTTCTTCCTTTCAGTCAATTAGAAAATCCAATTCCAATAGTTAGCAATTTTGTATTCTACAGCTGAGGTTGTGGCAGGGTCTGCAGCATGGCTTGGGAGAGGTCTTTCTTGTGTTTGTGCTCAGAGAAGGGACAGTGATACTCGACCATCGTTCGATTTAACCCCTGCTCAGGTGACATTTTTTTTTCTCTGCACATTGTTCTATTTTTAATATGCTGTTTATACATTTATCTTCCATTAACTAGGAGGAGCAGGAGTAGCAGCAGCATTAATAGTGGTGCAATAGGAGGATATTTTACAATGGACAACCTAGGACTGACAAGTGTGAAAAGGCATGTTTGGCTCTAAGAGAAGCCCCTTTCTGCCCCCTAAAAAAACCAAAGGTTAGGCCCATATCCATTAGAGATCTTCATGGGCTGGAGCAGGCTAGGCTTATCACCTACAAGTAGGGGCATATCCCAGGCTTGTGCCTGGACTAACCTGCTTCTCAGGCCTGACACAAAATCTAGGTCTTAGGCTCTTAGCCTGGAAACTTGTGGACCAGGCTAGGAATGATCACCTCTAGTATCGAGTCTACTCTCAAAAGAAAAAAAGAAGGCATATATTTGCTCCCTTTCTCTATGGATGTTAGAGCTAAATCATGGATTGTAGCTTTCCTCAAGTGACATTTAGCCACTGGAATTTTTCTTTATAAAATGTAGAAAACAAAGACAAAGACATGGTTTGGACAGATGGCAGGGGCTCTTGGACTGAAACTTGCCCCAGGATGGTGACAAGCAGAATAGATTGGGCTTTTTATATCTTTCATGTTCTTTAAATGATTAGACTAGTGATCATGTATACTTAAGATGTATAATTCTGCTCTTTCCATTGGCTTTTATGCTTTCAGGAGGAGTGCTTGCAAAGGCTACAGAGCCGCATAGATGTTGCCTATGATAGTTCAAATCCTGAGCACCAGGTATTGTGTGAAGTCTGAATTCATTCTGGATTTCATTTCCTTTCTTTTGGGCGGGAAGGTGGTGGTAGGAGTCATAACATTTCATTTTAGTTTCTAGAACTTTTTTTTTTACTTTTGATACTGTGGGCTTGAAATATGTAGTATTGAATTACTTGGAATATTGTTGTCATTTGTAATAGATAGGTCATGAGATGGAATCTATGATTAACCCGAGGTTCATTATCCTTATTAAACTGGAACTCTGGATAGTCCACGTGGCCCACTTATTCGTTAATGCTGACAAGTTGGTTTATGTGCCATCTTTTTAATGTGGCATGATCCAAAAAATCTGAAGTGTAAGGGCCTTTCTTCCAACTGACAGTAACTATTCTTGCATTATAGGAAGCTTTGAGGTCATTGTGGAATGCTTCCTTTCCTGGAGAAGAACTTTGCGGTTTAATATCTGAGCAGTGGAAAGAAATGGGATGGCAAGGAAAAGATCCATCAACAGATTTCAGGTATGCTTTCTTTCCTTTGGATTCTGTGGGGCTTTATGTGGTTATTACTTTTAGTTTATGCTTAACATGTTGAATTTGGACTTTATGTGGCAGAGGTGGTGGTTTCATATCACTAGAGAATTTGCTGTTCTTTGCAAGGAACTATCCAGTAGGGTCCTTTTTTTAACCTTGTTATTCTTTTTTGTTTTACCTAATGCTTGTTGAATTTGGATTCCTATGTTAGGAGCACCTTGAAGTAATAAAAAACTTTTTGTTGCAGAAATCCTTTCAGGATCTTCTCCGAAAGCAGGAAGGTGATCGGGCTATGTGGGAGTACCCATTTGCAGTTGCTGGTGTGAATATCACATTCATGCTCATTCAGATGCTTGATCTCCAAGCAGGTTTGCATGTTTCCCTTCCAATTCATGCTGAGTAATGATTATTTTGAGCAAATTATAAAATCTCCACGTCAACCAATTAATACAAATCTTTCTAGCATTTCAATATTACACCAGAACTCAATGAAATTTGGCCACATTCTCAGTTTCAAGGAGGTTTGATACAAATTGCTATATAAGCAATTTAACCAAGCCTGTACAAATTAAAATTTGTCAATAATTTAGCCAGGTGGATATTCACTTGCATGCTTAATGGATGTATAATTCTCATTTGTCAGAAGAGCCAAGACTGATGATAACATGGGTTATGTTGGGGTTTGTTTAGTACAGCTACTCTCTCTTGCTGAACTCTTCTAAGGACCTATAACTTTTGGCATTTTGTTATGCACAAAGTGGTCACTCTCATACTCAAACCCACTTTCTCATGCACATCAGCTCAAGATTTTACCATTGCACCAAGCAAAGGCCCTTAACAATAATGACTTCTTGCTATGTTACCCGGATAGTCAAGGGCATGGCTACAAAATTTACAAAAGAAGTTGGAAGTATCCGAAACAATATGGGTATCCAGGTGTCCTGTACAAGCCCTTGTACAGGTATCCAGGTGTCAAATTGATAGATGGGTACAACCATGTTGGTGGAATTGGTAAAGAATAGCATCTAAAACATTTTATTCAGCCTTCCGGAATACTTTCTTGAAGCCAAAACTGAATGAATCATAATATGCTTTGAAAGTGGTCCTAATGTTTATATACCTGTACAGTCAAACCGCGGACGGTGCTGGGGGCAATTTTCTTGAAGTTACTTGTAGGTAATATTATAGCAACTCATGCTACATTTTTTTTAATGTTAAAACTTGGATTTGTTGGTCAATGGATGTTTCAAACTGGAAAAGATATTTAAGACAATTTGATGCATCCAGCCTAGAAAGTTGCCTAGGGTGATAAAATATCCAATTTAATGATATAAATTCTGTTTGTGTTTAATTTACTGCTTCTATGAGCAATTGTCTCAATTATGTTATGTATAACCTACAGGTTTGTTTTGTGACAGAAAATGAGTCGGCGTTCGACCTTCTCTACTGCATAACATTCAAGCTAATGGATCAGCAATGGCTTGCTATGCGTGCATCGTACATGGATTTCAATGTACCGCTTCTGTCAAATTTCATCATCCTCACTTATTTTATCATAAGGTGGAAAAAAAATACTAACATCATATTCTGTAATTTTGTTTTGGATTTCTTCCCTTCCAGACTGTGATGAAATCCACACGCCGGCAATTGGAAAGGGAATTCCTGCTTGAAGACATCACACGATTAGAAGATATGCCTTCATACAGTCTCCTACGATAACATTTCAGTCCTATTGACAACCATGCAAATCCCTTGAGGAAGCAAGATGCTATTCATTGATAAGTGCTTTCTCCCAAGTTATCTTCTTTTAATTTTCTTTTTCTTCCGCTTTTGTTTTTTGATTAACAAGCCATCTCAACGGTGGCTTCCAAGATTTGGTGATCTGCCCAATTTGTTTGAGGCTGTCTGCCCATTTGAAGATTTCAACAAAGTTTGGATCCAGTGTTCTAAGCTACCTCCGCTAATCCAAGCGTGAGCACGTTCTAGGCACATCCAGGATACCCTTTTTCGCAATGGGGGAAAACCTGGTTGCCATTTGTGTAACTATAGACAGGTACCTTGATTTTAAAAAATAGGTCAGTACTCAAAACAAAAGCTCAATATCTACGACTACTAGTACTAGCCCAACACGAAAATGAATTAAATAAATGCACTTAGAGCATCAATTGGGTGTATGTTTTCTCTGTGCTTCTACATGTAGAGTTTCTAAGACATTCCCGTCAGGCTATTTTGTTGACCATTCAGTTTAAGGGATACATTTCTTTAAGAATAGTAAAAGAAAAGAAAAATTAAGTAATGCAAGCACTACTGGATGAACAAGCTAGATTCATGAAACAATGCCCATGAAAGGGTTACGTGGTGAAATGCCCCAATGTTTTATTAATTAACTTTATAGTCATTTGAGCCTCAGATACTGTAAAACTATAGTAGCAAACTTGTTCATCCTTGTGTAACTCCGCTAATTTCAATTTAATTTTACGCTTAAATTTTTGCATATAAAATATTGCAATCTCATCTTATTATAACCCAGACAGACCAAGGTTAAAAACTGGAAATGTGCATCGCAACATCACATGATGGTTTCAGTCGGTATTCAACTTCCCGACTACACTCGATAACCATTTCCAAATTGGAGATTAATGACTTGGATCATAAAACATAGAGGTCCAAGAATTTACAAGCACCAAGGATGGTCGCAATTCGCTCCAATAATGGCCCATTTTAGATCGTGAACACATACATGCACAACAATGATTCATTGAATTCAAAAAATAGTCTAAGGGTCTATCGGTATGTTCGTATGGTCTGTTTGGTTTAGATGGGAATCAGAATTGGAATCAATTAGAATGGGATTTTATTTTTAAGGGAGGAGATACTAATGGTCATTCTTGTTAGACAATGTATGTCCTCAGTTTTATTAAGAGTGATGTAAACTGACATTTGTTGAATAAAATATTTTTTAAACTGGACATTTACGAGATTTGTGTTAGTTTAAAATGTTATTAATGAATGGGTAAACTTAGGAATTTTTCATGTTAAGACTGATACTTGGGGGTGTAAAGTGGGTTGCGTTGTGTGTGCCAATACAACATGATTTTGCAGGCCACTTGTGCATTAGCTAGTCATGCCGTGCGGACATGTGGGCCTAAGTGGATCATGCTTGCTGGCCCGGAACCCTTCAAAAGTCAGGCCTGACAGGACTCATTCCATGAACCTAGGCAGGCCCGTGCCATGCTGGAAATATAAAAAAAAAAATATTGAAAATTTTAAAATAAATTAACAAAATAGACAAGAAATTGAAAAATCTTAAAATTTTATTCCATATGAATCTAGATGCACAATTGTATGAAATAATAAAATGAAGTTAAAAAAATTATAATACAATTAGAATATATATACCGGGTCATAGGCCCGTGCCAGTATGGTCTATATCGTGCCTAATTGGTAGAGCAATTCGGGAGCCCATATCGATCAAGCATTCAAGCCATAAAGTGCACATACACTACCATTCATTCTCCATACAAACAGCAAGGTTCGATCTCCAACTTTGGGCTCAACTTACAGGTTAATTTCTGTTTGATTCTTCTGGTGCGTCTACTACTTGGGAGATGCAATTATGAGTTTCGTATCAGGTAACACTCAACCCCTCTTGGTTGATCAAATTCACATGATTCTTTTGGATCGATCCAATGGGAAAACTGTTTCCTCTTAAATCAATTTCCTATATGGACTGAATCAAGATTTTTGAAATCACTGATGTCGACCACCAAGGTTCAACCTGTATTGGATTTTTTCAGCCCATTCTTCAATTCCCTCAAATAGGGAATGCCATTCCATTCTAATGGGATTTCAATTCTGCTTAACCAAATAGTTGGAATCGATTTCAATTCTAAGCCCCTATTCCCACAAATCAAACAAGCCCTCAAGGCTTCATCAAAACAATTGGTAGTCCAAGTAGGTTTTTCCCACACGACTGTTTTCCAATACTCAGAGGGCTGCCGGGAGCTGCCTTCGACTAGGGCACCAAGGGGGGCATGTAGTTGCAAACACCACCTGCATTCGTGAATTATTAATGTGGTGTATTAAATACCGAAGAACCGGACTAAAGGCTGGATTGGGAATGCTCCACGGTTTCCGGGTTCGCCAGTTAATCTGTTCAGCCCCATAAAAACCTGTTAAAACCGTCATTTAACCGAGACCCGAAAGGCCACCGTTTCCCAGTTTTCACAGTCCGACCACCTGGTCCAAACCGAGTCTTGAAACACTGGAACGAGTCATCCTAAAATCTGAAACTCATCAGAAACTCCTAAAATGCAGATACTCTAGCTCCAAGTCCTTCACAACATATATGCCAACTTGTCATACCATTATAATCAACATAACCCAGCACAAAACACCAGCCATGGTTATAAGATAGTGATATTGTATGTACGTTTCCATTTACATCGCTTAGTGTTTACCATTCAATCCATTCTCAGGTTTCCATAGCGCCATGGTTTAAACCTCCCCTTTATACAGCAAAATGAAACCCACAGCTTCTGATATGGTTTTTTTTAATCGTAGATAACACTAATATAAATTATAATTATAAAGTAATCAGACCACAAGGATAATTAAAACGATTTTATCCATCATTCCTCAATACAAGAAGTCAAAATTTAAGTTCCACTAATTAAGAGAATCAAAAACAGTTTGCCCAACGCTGGATAAGTACCTACTATCAACTCAACCAGTACAATTTACTCGTAGATCCAAGGGTGAAGGCTGCTCTGCCAGTAAACAGTACCATCTGGGAACCACAATGCAATCTCTTTCCGTGCACTCTCAACTGAATCACTTCCATGGATGACGTTCCTGTGAAGATAAAAAAAAAATGCAACTCCATAAGATATATTCCTTAAAAAGATCACAAAGCATCTATTAATAGTAATTAATAATTCATAACTACAAACAAAATCATTCAAAATAAAGGGCAGAAAAAGTTTAGTGCCTACATGAATTAATAAAATGGCAACAAAACTACATGCTGTGATTAAAACTTGAAAATCTTATACATGACTCTTATATTCTTCTGATGGAGTGAACCATCCTTCCAAGCTCTATTATAGATTGGATGTAGTGATCAACCATGGAGGTTCAGACCCATCAGTGAATTTCAGTCAGGAGATGGAAAGTAATTATCAGAACATACTTCGATGTGATCAATTTTCTGAAATAAGTCTCGGACATTATACATTTATATTAACAAATGGTTAGCAGATAGAGTGATAATGGGAACCACAGAGAGTGAAATCAGTTGCACAAATTCAAAAAACAATGACAAAAGTTGATTTCAATATCCAGACCATTCCGTTTTGAGATCCAGGAATCGTATATCAGAGTATAGATTTTCGGCCAATCTTAAAAACCATTGCAATCAGAATGGACAATTGATGGATAACACAAGCTAAAGATGCCAACCATGTTAAATTCTACTTATAACTTAAGCATCATTTCCATTTGAACCATTCATTCACCATAATCTTGTAACATTGAAAATAAGAAAAATGATCATATCACCTATAGTAGATCTTGAGAAAGCTCTAGAAAGCAAACAATGCACTACCACATAAGAATAGTTTGCTAAACGAGTCCAACACCAAAATTGAAACAAATGGGTCAATGCCTAGGTGAGTTAACAAAACATAGGTGTGGGTGGAAGCACTAACAATCACAATACATGGAGGAACAAAAAAAAAAATTACCTGCCAATGTCAATGGCATAGTCACCACGGATGGTTCCAGGAGCGGAATCCGCGGGATTCGTGGCTCCTATGATCTTCCTACCCGTGACGACGACGTTCTTTCCCTCCCAGACCATAGCAACCACAGGACCAGAAATGATGTACTCCACCAGCCCATTGAAGAAGGGCTTGGCAGAGAGGTCTGCGTAGTGCTTCTCAGCAAAAGCCCGCTCTACGGTCATGAGCTTCAAGCCTAAATCCAGCATCAAACATCCAGTTTAAGATTCAGACTTCAAAGCAGTAGCGCAAAACCAACACAAAACTCAAATTAAAATAACCAAGATGTGTTACCTTTCAAGGAGAAACCCTTCTTCTCAAATCTGCCAATGATTTCCCCAACCTAAAACAGAAAGATTAAAATTTTCAGACAATTCTGTTTTCCGTTGTACCTCAGTAACATCCATAGATCTAAGAAAAAAACGAAATCTAACTTGTTTATTTTGTATTTAAGCGATTACGCCAAAAAGAAGTAGAAATCATCAACAGAGAGACCCAGAACTAGTAATTACTTGGTAAACTTAAAACAATATAAACAAGAAGGAAGGAAGGCTGGATTGAGATGAGAGTGGGGACGAAGACGAACCAGGCCTCTTTGAACGCCATCAGGCTTAATCATGATGAAGGTCTGCTCCATCTTCTTCTCTGATCGTTCCGAAGACACTGGTTTTTTTTGGGTAATCGTCGGTCAGCAGTAGAAGCAAAATAGAGAGAGGGAAGAATGGAGGGGTTTTATATCAAAACCCTAGCCAGTAATGAGATTGCTTCCTCTTCTTTCCACCTTCGATTTGTTGCATCAGAATTCACAATTCAGAAACGAGTGCAGCAGATCCCATCCCGATGCTAGTAAAGGTGGGTCCCTGCGTGCAGCACAGAGTATTTCAGACAAGGGAATTTGGTTTTCAAAGGCGTGCAAGAAAATTATGACAATTTCTTTCACACGTGCTTGCGTCAAAGTCCATGCGGCTATATCGTGATCCTGTTGTCACAGTCCAGGGGGCAATATTTTATGCTTGTAATGATAGGCCAATCATGATGGACCACGTCAGCTCTTTACATGGTGAATCTGATGAGATCTATGTCCCAACTGGGGCAATTATCCCCTGTATTCAAAGCAAGCTTTTGCCGAAGGCGGAGGGGTGAGGTAAGTCTAAAATAAATTAAAGGGTAAATTTCTTAAATTACGTTTATGGTTTACCTAATTGAATAAGTGTATCCTTACTCAAAATTGACTAATAATATTCTTATCATTTTTGACAATTGACTAATTTTACTTTTACCGTTAAGATCTGTTAACTTTTTGTTACATGTGATGTATTGTAATATGACTTATATATTTATAAAAATTTTCAAAAATACCCTTCCCACCTCCATTCCAAAAAAACCCTTGACCTCCACCATAATAATGTCTTCGAACGGATCCATCGCTTTGCTGGTTGGACAACCTTCGATCTCCTCTAGACCTTCATCATCCTCACCTTCTCCTACGAACCAAAATCTAAAATCTACAACCTATGTGGCTCTAAATTGGTAAACAAGCAAGAATTCTGATTTACATTAGCCATCACACTTCTAATTATCGTTCCATGGGTTATTGTGAGATGAGTTCCAGTCAAGGTCTCGACTCTTGCTGGCCATGCCTTGGTTATCAAGTTCCACGGTGAAATTTACGAGTGACTAAAATCCACTCCTTCCATAGAAGACGATTAACTTGAAGGCTACAGTCTAATCCCAAACCAAAACCAGTTGCCTGATGCGGAACTCGTAGGATAGGTGTGCTTTAGAAGAAGCACCTAAAGGGGTCTCTGATTGAGGAGATGGCTGAACGGGATGTAGTGTTGATAGAAAACATTGATGGAGATGGTGCCGACAAAGGTGATGATGATACCGAAGAGCCAGTCCATAAGCTCCTAGAACCTTTCTCCGAAGATCAACTCATCGATCTCCTCCAGGAAGTTGCTGGTAAGCATTCTACGCATTTGCAAGGTCTCTGATGCGGACCAATGTAATGGGATTCGGGAGAAGAGTGACAAAGAAGAAAAGGGGATGTCTCACTGGCATCATGGTGATGATCTGGGTGTGCATGCCTTGAAAAGAAATGGAGAGTGGTGATTCCTGAGAAGAGCGCCAAAGAAGAGCGGCGGTTGCAGCGGTTCCGAAGAGAAAGAGAGGGGTGCCGACCTCTACAGTTCCGAAGAAGAGCGTCGGAGAACAAGACCGTTCCAGTGGTTTTGGGAGATCTACAGTTTTGGTGGTAACTAGAGGAGTCTTATTGTTGTTCGATCTACAGTTCCAGCGGTTTCAGATCGATCTCCTCTGGGAAGTTGTTGGTAAGCATTTTGCACATTCGCAAGGTCTCTGATGTGGACCAATGTAATGGGATTCAAGAGAAGAATGTGCAAAATGAGAGGGGCGTCGTGGTGATGATCTGAGTGTGCATGCCTTGAGAAGAAAAGGCGAGTGCCGATTCTTGAGAAGAGCGCTAGAGAAGAGAAGCGGTTGTAGCGGTTCCAAAGAGAATGAGAGGGGCGTCGACCTCTGCAGTTCTGGAGAAGAGCAGCGATTCTAGAGAAGAGTGGCAGTTATGGCGGTTCTAAGAGATCTACAATTCTGGCCATAACTGGAGGAGACTTACTGTTGTCCACGGTGGTTTTACAGTTCCGACTGAAAAGGAAAGGGAGAGATCCGAGTAATTTATAGTGGAGGGTAAAATTGTTTTTTTCATATCTCCGTTGACGCATGATAATGATTAGAAAGGATTAGTTAATTGTCAGAAACAATAGGGATAGCATTAGTCAATTTTCAAACAGTAAGGGCATAGTTAATCAATTTGCTAAACCATAAGGGTAGTTTAAGAAATTTATCCAAAATTGAAAGGGTAAATTGCTGAAACCTCCCCTGAAGTTTTTTACTGTTGCTGATACCTCCCTAGAAATTTAGTAATTGTAATTACCTTTCCCGAACCTTTTAATACACCCCTTTGGTAGAATCTTCTATAAAAAGCATGAAAATGTCTAAAATACCCATATAGTTATTATTGAGGCTGGTTACTTTGGGAAGAAACAATACAAAATTTATGAACAACAAAAACAAAGATAATTTAAAGTTGCTGTTTTACTTTTGAGTGATTGATATGAAGGGCAATTTTGAAAAATAAATCAATTTCAGAAAAAGGGATTGAAAGGGTTTGGGATAGTGATTCATATGAAGAGAAAATTTGGAAAATAAACATTTTTGTTAAAAAGTAACTATATGGGTATTTTGGGCATTTTCATGCCTTTTTTAGAAGATTCTATCAAATGGGGTCTACTTTCAACTATGTTAAAAAGTATAGGGGAGGTGATTACAATTACCAAACTTCAGGGGAGGTTTCAACAATTTACCCAAATTAAAAAATATTGTATATTATATAAAGTTATAAATATATTTGAAAAAATATAATAATATAAATTATATGTTGTTTATCAATGATTGTGGATTTGAATTTGATGGGAATTGTCTTTTCTTTGTATTTTTTTGCTTAATAAGATAAAATTCATTTAGCAATGCTCAAATACAATTGAAGAAAATATATAAGCAAAAAACACTCGGGATCTGTCACCCACAAGTTGTGCCCACAACCCTACCCATGGAGCACCACCACTTTGTATTGGGAACATCTCCCCATGAATGACAAGGGTGATATTCCCAATGCACAACTGTAATGTCTTGTGGGTAGAGATGTGGAAACATCTCGTGGGTAACAATCCGAGCCCCAACAAAAAAAAGTCAAGTAAAGCAACTACATCAAAATGCATAAACAAATTTCACAGACCTAGATACTAAAATACAAAAGGGAGAATGACTGATAAGCCTAGCTCAGAATTCTTTAGCTCGACCATAGAGGGGGGATGAATCCTGACCATGGATTGATGCCAAATCCACGGGTAGGATGCGGTTTATAGGGGGGCTACTAATAGACTATGGGGGGCTGTAATTCAGAATTTTGTAGTGAGCTCCAAAGTACTTTCCCCAAAAGAAAACCGTAAAATTGAACATGGAGAAAAAAACAACACATGAGACCTTGGCAAATGGCGTTGAGATTCTGAAAATTGATAGAGAGGATGAGTATAGTCCTCCAACATAGACTAGATTTGATAGATTGATACTCTCGCAAATTGAACATGAAGTAATACTACATCAGAATTGTTTTAAATATGCAGAAATAATGCCATTAGGGTTGTTTAAATCAAATAAACAATAAATGGAGACAATCAACCATTAAATACCTAGGTTGTATTTGTTTGTAATGCAAATTTGAATTGGATACAAGTTTTGCATTTGTTTCTTTGTGACTATGATTTGTACTTGTATTGATGTAAAATTTGAACTTTTGTCTCATTTGCATGTATGAGTAGTGCAAAATTTGCATTTGAGGCTTTGTTTGTTTGCGGTTTATACACCAGATCGGTGGACTTTTGCACTCTTGTCCGTTTTTACATGCATTTGGCAGCAATGTAGATATACATCATTCCATGGTGTAAAACTCTACTCAATAAACCTATTACACATTGATAAATAGTGTAATGTTAGCACCATTTTTTTCAATGTAAACGTTTCCTCTCTTCTCTATTGAAGTAAAAGTTTCCCCTCTTTCTCCCATCTCTCCATCTCCTTGCTTTTCATTAATTACAGGCATAATGGTCATTGCGAGACCTTTCTTCCCCTTTGTCAATGACTAAAAGGTACGAAAAAAAATCCAATCTAGTAGATCTGCCACCATTCTTTCTAGGATAGATAGGTTTTCATCAGATCTAAATAAATGGGTTTTCACCAATCTCAGATCTGGTGAAAAACACTAGACCTGCTACCATTGTTAGAGTTGGTGAGATCCACCGAACTTCCCTTCAATCTACTAATGTATTGTCATTTCTTCCTCTTTGTTATTTGTTATGGATAAAATGAGAGGAAAATATTTTAATTGATTGGAGTACCTATTTTTCCATCTTTTGTTTCTATTGTTTCTACATGGAATGCCTACTCTCTCTCTCTCTCTCTCCATATCGCAATGTGGCTTTGAGAGCCATACAAACAAGCCAACTCGTTGGGGTTATAGCCATCTCAATTTCATAATATCCCAATTAGTAGTTAAGATAATCTAACTTAATACAAGGGTATGTTTGGTTGATCTTTTAATCCAAAGAATCACTATTTAAAGAATGATTTTAGAGCTCTGAGTAATGCAAGTTAGCATATTGCAAACTATGATTAACTACCTAGGTTCACTGTGATAATGTTTTTTATTTTCCTGCTTCTTTTTCTTTGACTATCAGACATGAGGGCATCATCACACATTGAAAGACGTTCGTGGATTGTCGATGCCTTCTTTCAATCCTTAGTGTCTTCATTACTCTTATTATGGTTGAAGTACTACATACTATGTGAGCATCTGAGAACAAGAGAAGTTAGGAGCATAGGGAAAAAAGTTTCTAAAGAGGATTTTTAATAGCAAGAATTCATGCTTTTCACAAATCAGGATGAGGAGAAGATGCTTTGATTCACTGTGTTGATTTACTAGACTACATTGTCACCTCACACCAACCCCCTATTTGAATGTGGAGCAAGTTGCAATGTTCCTTCACACTATTGGTTACAACATGTAGAGTTGTACAATCTACATTAGAAACTAACGCACCATTAAAAATCAGACACGACACTCGATTCATGCCATACTTCAAGGTATTGCTAACAAATGAAGATTTCAATTCAATCCATTACCCACTATAACACAAATTTAG